TGAACCTAGAGAAAATCCAACACAAAGGATATTACCTGATGTAACCCAAATACAGGCAAATTTACCTACAGTACCTGCAGTACCTGCACTAAGGCGTTCTGACCGCATAAAAGAACAAGCAAGAGGATGAAACTTTCAGTTTGAGTAGAGCCTTGAAGATGACAGCACCCTCAGCTATCGAAAGCGCTCGCATATAATAAATAGAAGTTATAAAGCTTCAAATCCTTTTTGTGACATACGTTAATATAATTTCTGATTCATTCTGATATATGAATAAAATTTCCGATACATTTCTGATAACTTACTCATAATGATTTTAATTCGATTCATGCTAGTATGCTAGTGCTCATTACTGTCAATACCTGAATATGAGATATCGTTGGTATGCTGCCTTAGAATTTTGGGAATAGGAGCGCAAGAAAATTTATGAACTGTTCTCCCACTCTCAAGTATTTGCAAATGCAATAAGTCTGATGCAGTTTCTTTCTTTCATGAAACTAAGGCGATATTCGTATTTGGTTGGTTGCTACTCTAGAACGATTTTCGGGTATTCGTTGACTATTTGTGAATTCGTAATTTTCGATGGTCGTCTATAATGCATGCAAAGTGCGTAAATGAAGAGTATCTACCCAAACAGTCAAATAACAGCAGGTTTCAATCAATAAAAGGCATCGTTGTAAAGCGACAGCAGCTTCAGCTACAATGATTACAAATATCCGTTGCATTTCAATCAGGATCGATAAATAGTCAAGTATGCGAAACAAAAGATAAAAGGAACTGGATTATACTCAATTTCAGAGTCATCACAAAATAATATGAACCACCATTGAAGTACGCTTATATAGAGCAAGTGAAAGGGTGTGATGCACGACAATTTTCCTTTAAGCTAAGGGGCTTCCAAAATAATTTGAATTTTTTTTCAAAAATAATGTATATGTATTCAGGTCATTTTTTTATCATATAGTAACATTGCTATATTATAAACCATAACAGATATGAAGACAATTGAATAAAAAAAAAGGTAACTATCATGGGAAACAGTGCAATGGTCAAAGGAAATTTACGGGGACTCGTGTTATACAAGCATGACTAAAAATTTTGTTATAGGTTTCAATAATAGAATTGTTATTTCAAAAAATATATGAGTCAATGTCAATGTCACTGTCAACATCTTTTGTGATTCCTGTTGCAGATCTTTTAAGAATTTTTTTGGTTTGAAAATACATAAGGGAAAAATTCATAAAAATTCAAGAAATAATACCAATATTCCTGTTAACGAAACCATCTATGTCTCAAAGAACGAAAATGCTCGCATACCTTTCCACAAGAGTATGGCTACTTTGAAACGTAATTCTATCATTTCTATGAGGATACCGAAAGCTGCCAGATTTCTTTCTGATTCTGTCCTCTCGAATATCATCGATGAATGTATCAATGTACAATTCCACCGAATCCTGGGAGAAACTTCTTTCATTTGGTTACAAAAACTTCAGAATTCCATATGATAATGGCAAACGCAAAATATCTCTAGCAAGTATTATAAAAAAAACTTGAATCAAACAACATTGGAACCTGCTGAAATAAAATTTATCAAGAAATTTAAAAATCCGGAGGCTATCCTAATCAAGATGGTGATCAATAAAGTATCAGATGGAGATCTTTCAGGAGCTGTGAAAATTTTATGTTCTGATGACAAACTGGCAAATTTTAGCACGGAAACCTTTCGTGAACTCTAGTCCAAGCATCCTCAGTCAAAAACTCAAATTTGTTACCAAACTAACTCCTTTTCAACTAGTCCTTTAGTAGTGAATGAGAATGAAGTTCTTCAAGCAATTATGTCTTTTCGTACTAGTTCCTCTGGAGGTTTGGATTCTTTGAGGCCATCTCATCTGCAGGAATTAATAAGTTATAGTGCTGGTTCTGCTGTATCGAAGATTTTATCATCGCTAACAGCCCTTTGTAATGTTTTGCTATCAGATACTGTGAACGAAAAAATTTGTCCCATTTTATTTGGTGCTTCATTATGTGCTTTGAAAATGAAAAAGAAAGATGGTGAAATTAGACCAATTGCCGTCGGCAATGTGTTTCGCCGTTTAGTTGCAAAACTGGCTTCATTCAAGCTGAAGGAAAAACTAGAAAATATTTTTCGTCCATTTCAATATGGTTTTGGATCTCCAAGTGGTTGTGAAGCCGTATACCATGCTGCCCGAAGATATATTAATGAATACGAGTCCAAGGATGGAAAAGTTTTTCTAAAATTGGATTATAAGAATGCTTTCAATATGCTGAATCGAGACTTCATCTTGAAATCGGTTCAAAATAGTGTTCCAGAGTCATATCCTTTTGTATTTCAATGCTACTACCAGCCTTCAATACTGATATTTGATCAAAACACAATATCATCAGAGCGTGGAGTACAGCAAGGGGATCCATTAGCACCTGCTCTCTTTTGCCTGTCTATAGACAATATCATCAAAAATTTAAAAACAGAGTTCATTGCTTGGTATCTCCTCTGGGAGGAGACTATAAGGAAGTTCTCAATGCCCTTTCGTCTGTTATTAAAAAGTCATAGGAAATTGGGCTTGAACTAAACTTCCATAAATGTGAACTTCATTTTCTAAGTGAACCTGATTTGAATATTTCGAGAAAATTCAATGACGTTGCTCCTGGAATCGAAATGATTGACAGGAATAGTTCAATTCTTCTTGGTTCCCCTCTCACAGAAGAATCATTCATCACTTTTTTTGAGGAAAAATTATTTAATTTCAGAATTATGTCTTCTCGTGTTCATGCTCTTCCAAGATAAGTAGCTTTCCATCTTCTCAGAAACTGTTTGACTATTCCAAAGCTCCTTCATCTCATGAGATATTTTCCAACCTGCCATCACCAAACTTATCTGATCAAGTTCGATGAAGAAATTCGTAACACTCTTCGACTTTTATTGAATGATCAATTGGAGAGCAATGCATGGCATCAGGGTACTCTTTCTGTATCTTATGGAGGTTTAGGCATTCGTACAATCACTGTTCTTTCACTACCTACCTTCCTCTCTTCGAGTTATAGTGTGATCAGTATGATAGATTCAATTTTACCACCCTCCTTTCCATCGGATAACAATTTGAGCGAGGCCGAACAACTATGGAATTCACGAACTAATCTAGAAGTACCAAGAACCAGAAAAAATCTTCAACAAACCTGGGATATTCCTCTTGTAAAAAATGCCTTGAATAATTTGTTAGGCTTGGCTAAATCTCCTATAGATAAGGCACGTATAAAAGCAGTGTCGTCAAAACATGCAGGCGCTTGGTTGGATGCCTTACCAGTTTCATCCCTTGGTATATTATCAGGCAATGAATCTTTTAGAGTTGCTGTAGGCCTTCGACTAGGTTCCAATATTTCTGTTCAACACAAATGCAAGTGTGGAGTGGAAATAGACACCCGAGGATATCATGGATTGAGTTGTAGATATAGCGCCGGGCGCTTTTCCCGTCATCAAGCTGTAAATGATGTCATCAAACGTGCCTTAGGTTTGGCAAATATACCTTCCATCTTAGAACCCCCAGGCACTTGCAGCGATGATGGGAAACGACCAGATGGCATGACTCTCATTGCTTGGCGGAAAGGAAAACCGGTTGCCTGGCTCTCACACATTTATGGATCACTAACACTTCTTCGAGTAGTTTGAAAACTTTTTGTTTCAATTCATTGAAGAATGTGGGGTAATCCGCAAGGTGGTTTCGACTTTCCACCTTGAAGCTCACAATTCTACACTTGAATGATATGCGCATGATTTTAACACCGTTNAATCCACAATGCCGGAAATTACTTTTCGACATCGTCTAGTCAGGCGAATTTTAAAACAGCTCAATATTAACAAGACGTACTTGTACAAAAGTGCGCAAATGAACTCGCATTAGTATTTTGCGGACTTTTCAACTTGTCTTACGAGGAAGGGGTTTTTCCTTCTTGTTGGAAGATTCCTCGTGTTCAGCCTATTCCCAAAAAGGGCAAGAAACATTTTCCAAATAACTATAGACCAGTCGCTTTGCTATCAGTGATGTCAAAAATCATCCGATATCCACGATATCCTTAAATATCTGGAAGGCTTTAACATCTTGAGCGATCATCAATATGGCTTTCTGAAACGAATATCAACAAGCGACCTCCTATCGTATGTCACCTATATTTGGAATAACGCAATCGAGAGCTGTTGCGTTTGATATTTCCAACGCCTTTGACCGTGTGTGGCATGAGTGTTTGCTGGCCAAACTTCGATGCTATGGCTTTTCGGATCATTTTTGTGTATGGCTCTCCGGTTTTCTGAAAAAACGTTCCCTGCAAGTGGCTGTCGATGGATATCCCTCGAATACCTTCATCATCAACGCTGTTGTTCCCCAGAGATCCATATTGTCTCCAACTCGCTTTTTACTGGGTATCAACGACTAATTGTTGGAGAAAATGAAAATTTCAATATATTGCTTTGCTTACGACAGCACACTTGTCTCGTCATTCTATTTTGATTCGAGCACTTCGGCTACGGATGCACATCTTCACCGGCAGCAGGAGGATTGAGGTGAAACCCAACCAGATCCAATTCAATGCCACAAAAACCCAGGCATCGGTTTAACACCAAACCGTTATTTTCAGCACCTCGACACCAAGTGATATCTTCAAGAAGAAGATTGAAGTTTAATCTTCCTCTTGAAGATGATCACTTGGTGATTGAACATCGTGTGTTGAAAGTAACGATTTTGTGTTGGTATAGAACTTCAGTAATATTCATTACTACACCATTTCCATGGACAAAGTTTTCAAAATAACCAAATGCAATCATCAGATACCTTGTGAAACTGTTAACCTATATAAATAATTTTACACTCCATTGAAAAGTAGTTATCAATTCAGATCAATATCCGATGGTGAAGACATAACTTGTGAAACTTTTTTTGAGAAAAGTATTGTCACATTAATGTATCTGATTTTTTATTATATTGATTCAGTTAGGTCAGAGGTTTCTATAAGCAAACACTACATATTCAATTCCTTCACAGGCGGATCGACAAGTTCCTGCAACTCTCCAGTACCGGCCTCACCAAGAACAGGCCTAGGAAGGTGTCTCTCGCCTCTATTCATACACAGAACCGTGGTTCCTGAAGCGTCGTCCACAACTGCTCCTCCAGCTAGTCCTTTGGGTGCTATTCAGCCAGACTTGTACTTGCGGAAAGACGGCCCTCTGTTCATTGGCAGTTCGAACAAATCCAATACCAGCATGGGAAGATTACATTTCAGACTGTCTTACGATTTCGACAGGAGTGACCTAGTTATACATCTTATCGAAGGTAAGAAATGCGATTTTGCTACAAAATGAAAGTGTAATTTTTATTGAATTTTCAGTAATTTCAAAATATTTAAGATCGAACAATGAAATGAAAATGTATTTTCACTCATTCATAGCAAATCCATCTGACGGTACAGTTTTTAGATATTTTGTAAATGAATATGCATAATAAAGTGTCTCGTTGAAAGTTAGACGTTCGGATGTTGAGTCTGAGGAATAAAAGATTCCAAACCTAAGAGAAGATTAATAAGTGAATCAAAAAGCCTTTCGTTTCATTTGAAAATTTATATTCAAAAATATAAATAAAGAAAGGTTTTGGCTTTCTACTCCCCTATCTGTATACAAAAAATGTAAGAATCTTTCAAAGAAAGGAAAAAAGCAATTAATTTCATAATGAACTCTTCACAAAGATACGTAGATCATTTGAAGAAATAACGTTTAGCCACAAACCGGATAAACAACCCTAACGAATGGCAACAAATGCCTGATAGTGATATTAGCCTAAAAGAACTGGGATCAATTCCATTTTATTTCCTCGATAATGTGGAACAGGAAAGGAATGTTTTAATTTGATTGACATAGTTTAATATAAATATAACCAACATAAGGGGCCAGGCGTCTGTGTACGACGACACTTCATCCATAGTCAATTGAAATTAAAGAGCACTAAAAAAGTAATACTTTATTGTGAGATTTTCACTGGACAGTTCACGAAACCGCAACACCTGTTTCGCTAAACAATAGCTTTTTCAAGCGTTTTTATACTGATATGAAAACGCTTTTCAAATAAAAAATAAGAACGGGCCAATATCCTTGGTACGTAGCATTCAAGAGCATGATAGAATACATATTAATTTTAAAGAGGAATATGTGGAAAACTTCCAAAAAGAGAAGAAAGCAATCAAGTTCAAAACAAACGTTTCACTGAGATGTATAGATTATGGACAAAAGTTTTTTTCATTTCCAACTATCCTTAATTAATGACACTATTTCTTTCAGGAGCTAAAATGGGTTTTGGTTTGGTTAGTGTAATTTATTACCGAAAAGACATAACAAAGCCCAATTTCACATAATTGATACATATGTTTCACTATGAATACCAAATCGTTGGAAAATAAAGGTTTTCGGCTACCTTCTTCTTGATCTTCGTAAAAAAACTGTGGGAAACTTCCAAAAGAAGGAAGAAAACAAAAATTAATCACTGCTAAAAATGGTACCCTTTCAATTCAAATCATGGAATTCTTTATGAATAAGTTGTTCAGTTATCAACTGACAACTCTTTATTGAATATCACAAAAATACAACTATAATACGTAGTATATATGTATACATATTGATTTCAAATGCCCATTTTAGATCACTGAAATTATAAAATTTTTGCTGGCGTCGCTCAGACATACAAAAATGGCGAAGGTTTCATCTACATTCACCATTTCATATAGATGGACAATAGTAATACATTGTATAAATCATACTGGCCATATGCGATTATTTTGATACCTTCTCAATTATATTTTGATTCCTTTTGAAATGCGTCAAATGATGGAGAAATTCCATATTTATTCGAGTCTGTGCAACTGAGGAATCTCGAAAACAGTGAGAGATAGAAAATAAATTTAATTTTGGTGAGGTTGCCCATTTTCAGATACAATTGAATAATAGTAACACATTGATTCACATTTTGTCATAACAACTTTCATTCCACTACCAGAATCTGGTCATAAAATAGTCATATGGGGTGTCGTCCTTTACTTTCACTAAACAGTTTTAACACACGTTTTAACACGCAATACGTGTTTCGCCATACAATGACTTCTTCGGGCGTGTCTTGGGGTATGTAAAGAAAGACATACCCCAAGTGTTTTTTGAATTTTCATCTCAAGTATCGGCCAATTTCATCAAATATCTAGTTTTTTTGTAATTTCGATAATGTTCATATACTATCGAAAGAAATCAATTTTTCGATATTCCACAGTGTTCCAGTAATTCAATAACAATCACATATATTGAAGATATTTAATCACGATCCTAATAATCGATCAAATGAAAGGAAATATTCAAATATGAAGTGCCCCAAAGTTCTGCGTTGGGTCCACATTAGTTATTCAATATTTATCTTGATGATTTATATAACTTGAAATCTGAAAGTGAAATTCTTTTTTTGCTGATGATACAGTTATTACAAAACAGATGAAACATGGGACAATTCGAAACAAAACGCAGAAACAGAGAAACAGTTTTCAAAATTACCATTGATTGATTCAATGAAATATCTCAATATCTGTCTCAATAAAATTAGAATTAGTTATATTTTGAAAAATCTGCGAAAATGGTTGCCAAAATTTAAATGTTTGAAACAATATATCAATTTCCACTATATTATTGGAGAACAAACATGTTCATATAATTAAGATTGAACCTCCTCAAGGTAAGTCGTTGAATTCATCACTCTCAATTATATTTTACATGTTTGATCTCTAATATATAAATACTGTAGCTGTTGAAATTATATGTGGCGATCTTTCAGAAATGTTTACCTTAATTTATACACATATTTTCATTATTCAAAATATTTACTGCAAATAACAAAAATGATAATCAACAAAGAAAGGTTTTAGCTTTCTACTTCTTCATCCTTATACAGTAAAAGGTGAAAATCTTCCGAAGAAAGGAAGAAAGTAAATAATTTCAAAATAAACTATTTACAAAGGTATAAGGAAATGAATATTTCGATATGAAATCTCGGAACATTCATCTCGCCCAACGTACCTACACAATAGGCTCTAGTAAATACCTGCTAAAAAATAACTTGAGTTCTCTGGCTAATACCACACTGGACATTGAATTATATCTGACATACATTTATGCAAGATACCTCACAGAGATAAGTCTTGCAGATGTTTATTCAGTAGATCACCTACAGATCGGTTTCGAGGTATTACCTTTCATCAGTGCGTGAAATATCTGAAGAATGTATTGAATATTTTAGACTTTTCTGTCCATTTAGCCGCTTTTCTGATTGTCTCAATATCTGCGCCAATGCGCGCTGCCCCAGAAGTTGCAGCATGTCGATTTGAATGACTTTTTAAACATTATTATCCATACCACTTTCATCTAGTATTGTAATAAGGCCCTTCATGTGTTGAAAGGAGTATTTGACTTCCTTGATTGGTTTTAAATGGTACCGCCAATCTGGATAACATTATGAGATGAAACACATTAATACTTTGTCTAAAAAATAAAAGGGGGGGACATTGAAGAAATGCACTGTATAATTTCCTTCATTCAGAAAGATTTTGAAACGTTGATTATTGAAACATCTAGATGATTTTTGTATGATGTTATGAATTTTTGAACATCATATCTCAATGTGCAAACAACTACTTATTTGAAAATATTGAATGATCCTTGCCACAAGTTATTTAGTTCGTAAGGTTGTATTTGTTTATTTGTCTTTCTAATACATTGTAATTATAGTTTAATGAAAAAAATTGACGAATAAACTCAATTTATCATCATTATACAACAGATTTGAAAAAAATGTAACTCATTGTCTGAAAAAATAATTATATAACATTTCGTAGCTCACGACTTGGCCGGAAGCGATCAGGGCGGCTTCAACGATCCTTACGTCCGTTTAGCGATACAGCCGGAAGTGGATTCCAGAAAACGTCAAACCAATATCTGCCGAAACGATCCGAATCCATTATTCGATCAACATTTCAAGTTTCCCGTTTCTCATGAAGAACTTCAGTCAAAAACCTTGATTCTTCAGGTATTCGACTATGACAGGTATGGGGTAACGAAGCTAACTAAAAGCGTTTATTGAACAGTATCTAAGGTACATTCAGGGGTGAATTCACTCATTTTTCCAATTAAAAAATATTCGATAACCAGTAGTTAACTATAAAGGGGCATTAAATATCGCTGAGTAAACTAACTCAAGATAATCATTAATTGGAAATATGAAATTAGGTTTATATTAATTTGTTAATCATTTCTACTAATACAGGTATTCTCGGAATGATGTCATTGGGGAAGTTACAATGAACATGGCCGAATTTGATATTGCTAACAGCGTGGAAATCTGGGGAGAGATAACCAAGAATAAGAAACCTAGAGAAGAAATCCAGGAGGTGCTTGTGTCTTTGAGTTACTTGCCATCTGCAGAGAGATTAACAGTGGTGCTGCTCAAAGCGAGGAATCTATTTCTGCCTCAATGTAAAGGAAATTTGGGTCAGTATGTCTTCTTAGCGGACATTACTAGGCGTAATTATTGGTTTACGATCAACGGGCAATTTTAACCTCGAATCTTTCAGCTAACGTCCAGAACTAGTTGGTTCTGAAAAATTCGTTATGAAATGTTACGAATTTTCTGCAAGGCTACCTTTTAAAACATGTGAGGTTCTTGTGGAATAAACATCTTTCTGCTACCTAATATTTAGTCATTCAAACAGTGCGGCATTATTTATATAAATGAATAATTGAATTTTTGACGACTCTGCTGCGGTTATTATCTATAATACATCTTTCGAATCTGTTTTTCTGCTTTTAGTTGAAGTTTGTCTAGCTGAAAGTCGATGAGTCATACTTATGGATTTTGTCACCAAAATCACTCCCCAACTGTTCCATTTTCTCAAACCCTGCTCAATTCGGAACCCATATAAAGAAATTATTCATAACTTGTTTTATGACAATGTTTTTTTTAATATACTGACCCGTTACTTGGTGAAAATCAATAACACTATTCATGATAATAATTACAAATCACAATATAGAATTTATTTTCAATACGCCTTTCACTAAGTAGTAGTTTCGTAATTTGGGCTGGTATTCTACAGACTTTTCAATGCAATTTAAACAATTTATCGACCTTAATCAATAGAGATTACAAATTGGTTGACAGACAGTTTCAAGAACAGGTACCAAGAAGGTAAGATTACTGTTATTAATGCATGCAATCAACAGTGCTTCTACCAAGAATCTTCTGTATGTAAAAGTTAAACAACATTCAGTAAGTGGTGTGTGTGTGTGTGTGTATGTGTGTGTGTGTGTGTGTGTGTGTGTGTGTGTGTGTGTATTCAAAACACGTGTTATCTGTGATTAAAACACAATCTACCTATAATTATTTACATTGGTTACAATAACCTAATCGACTCACTGATAAGACATTTGGTTGGAGTCCGATCCCACCAACTGTTGTCTACTAGAGAACCCAAGTTGGAGAATAAAATGGCGGATGTCGAAAATATTACAATCAAACAAATACTCGAAGTATAGAAGATAGAAAAGAAATAGAAAAAACCTTAAAAATAAAGATATACCACTCACTGGTCACCAAACCGCGTACACGTTCCTTCAAGCAAAAATAAAAAATGGATCCTTTCATTCAATAGTACTAGAATGAACCTTTAATGGCACAAAATATAAAGAAGATTATAGACTTCAATGAATATATGTAAGAAGGGCTCGGTCATTTTAAAAGTTTCCACACAAACATACGCAGCATTTTAAAAAACATTGATGAATTAAGAATTGGAAGGATTTAGGATGGAAGGATACAAAACGCTTTTTAATAAATCATGCTTTAATAAAAAAGATGATGTTGTTGTATTCATTAGAAATGAATTCGATTATGAACAAAAAAATATATCTCTATGAGAAATAAATGTTCTAGTACTGAAAATGAAAATAAATTATAAAATGATTACACTTACAGCAATATATCGCTCTCCAAATTCTTGTTCACATAAATTTAACGAAGACTTCCACCAATACTCATTAAATATTGATTCATCTCCTATATCAATGATGTAACTCGACCATTTAGTCACGCATGCCTTGACCACTTNCTTGACCACTCTTTTGTTAAAACTGATATCCGTTTTCATGATAATATGAAATCATTCATTTTCCATGAACAAATAAGTGACCTACGCCCTATTGCTTTAATGAGAGATATGGGATATACAAAGGAAAATGAAAAACAGGAAACGTTATCTAAAAGCTATACTAATTACCATTTTATTAATTAACTGCAACATCATATGAACATAACATAAAAGGACAAAACCAGCAAGAAATGGATAACTCGGGAGTTACTTACATTTATTCAAGAAAAAAATCATCTTTATGAAATGCTAACAAAGAAAACTGATGATATTCAACATCAATATAATAATCGAAAGAATGAATTGCATAAACTAACTCAAAGTGCTAAAAAAATTGTATTTCCAAACTGAAATCCAAAAAAAAATCTGAAGGCCTCTGGAAAAGTGTGAATGAAGCTTGCAGTAAAGCAAAAAATAAAATAGAAATAACAAAAATAAAAGTGGAAAACAATAAAATCATCAGTAATGAAAAAGACATAGCAAATGCGTTCAACCAACATGAAATAGTGAAAAAACTTGCAGATAAAATAAAAACTCCCGATTACTTTGAGAAAAAGATATTCAGAAATGACAAAAGCATGTTTATTTATCCAACCACGTATCATGAGGTTATAGAAATAATAGAAGAACTAAAGTCAAACAGAAGTCCAGGAGATGATAACATAAACGTGGAGACGTTGAAGAAAATAGCAAATGCCATAGCAGGTCCAATTGTTCATATCATAAATAATTGTTTTGTGAAAGGAATATTCCCGAATATTTTCAAAAACGGTACCGTCAAACCACTCTTTAAAATCGGTGATAGACTTCAAATCAACAATTACAGACCCATTCCACTGATTTCAAATGTAACAAAAGTAATTGAAAAAACCATCAAGAAAAGAATGACACAATTTATGGAGAAACATAGTCAGAAAATCAATACGGTTTCAGAGGGGGATGTTCAAGGGAGGATGCATTATACAGACTTACATCAGTCATTCATGAAGCACTAGAGAATTGAAAGCCAGCCAGCAAATTTGTATCTTTGTCGACCTCTCCAAGGCGTTTGACACCGTCTGTCACGAAAGGCTGTTAGAAAAATTGGAGAATATTGGCATGAGCGGCAAGATGTACGATCTCTTGGTATCGTGTCTCTCTGATAGAAAACAAGTATATATCGATGGTATACCGAGTAATCAAGCAAAAGTTACGTATGGTGTCCCGCAAGGAACATGCACAGGCCCTGTTTTATTCACTATATACATCAATAGCTTGTTAACACTACAATCATCAGGTGAAATTTTGAATTTTGCTGATAATACAGCCGTACTGTATGAGTCAAATACGTGGGACAACTCAAAATTAAAGTCGAAGTTGATTTCAACACAATCGTCAGGTGGTTCTAACATAACAAATAAACATTAAATAGGGACAAAACCAAATGCTTGTCATTCACCTCCTAGACTAATAACCTTACAAACATAGGTGCTTCAAAAATAAACGGGGAAACTTCAATACCGGAGGCCACTACAATCAAATACTTGGGAGTACCTAATTCTAGATCGACATATTAAATGGGATCTACATAGGTCACATCTAACCAGAAAATCACGCGGATTTCTATCACGTTTCAAATTATTGAAAGAAATTCTCGAAATTCTCCGGTTAAAAACAATTTACTATGGATTAGTAGAATCACCACTGAATTATGGAATTATACACTTAAACAGTCTGAAGGTAATACAAAAACATATCTTGAAAATTATATATGGTAAGAAAAGGACTTATTCCAGTAGAAATTTGTTAATGGGGAGCGGGGGTTTTTCATATCAAACAGTTATTTTACTCGAAAATCATTTCCAAAATTGATGAGGACAAAATATCACTGAACAAACTTCAACACCCATATAGTACTAGGAACAAAGAACATACCGCCTTGGTACCGAAATGTAAAAAATTAGTCGGTCGAAGGCATTGTAGCTATAATGTTGACTTTCGTTTATATGTTTCATCATTTTCCCTCATAAGGAACCAACAGTAATCCTCCATCATTGCTGAATCCCATCTGCCTTGGTAACGTTGTTCCATTGTCAGTATATCCTGGTGGAACCTTTCCCCTTGTTCGTCACTGACAGCAACCAAATTTACTGGGAAAAAATTCAAATGGCAGCGCAAGAAATGGATTTTGAGAGACATGCGATCTCCCAATTTGCAGTAGTTTTTAAGTAGTTCTTCTACAAGTGTTTCGTAATTTTCTACTTTCTTGTTCCCTAAAAACTCCGAAACAATTTTTTTGAAAGAACTCCACACATCTAATTCAACATTACTTAATTTTTTATCAAACTGTTGATCACTTAGTAGTTTTCTAATTTGTGGTCCAACAAATATACCTTCCTTGAGCTTTGCATCAGTTAATTTTGGAAAAACGTGATTAAGATATTTGAACGCATCACCTTCTTTGTCTGATGCTTTTACACAATGTTTTATTAACCCCAGTTCAATGTGTAATGGAGGTAACAAAACGTTTTCGGGATTAACAATAGGTATATTCTCCACGTTAGCTTGACCTGGAATATATTTATCTCTTGAAGGTCATTCTTTTACTTGATAATGGCTCTGTATTGCCCTACTGTTCCAAAGGCAAAGAAAACAGCAAAACTTCGTAAGTGACATACTTTCGTTTGTTTCCTTCATGGCAACTGCATTTGTAAGAGGAATAGAGGGTCTTTTGTTACCATTATGGAGCAGAATGGCTTTTAAACTTGACGCTGTGTTGCCAGATTTTAAACAATTTTCTCAATTTAGGGGAATGTCGTGTTCTTTAAATTTTTGTGTCAAAAATCTCACCTGTTAGGAAACTTTTGCTATCATTTTCGCATTTAGGGACCAAAAATTAATAATGAACTGCTTTTGGCATTACAGTCGTAAATTGGCTGTAAACTAGTGAATTAGACTAATTCTAGTAAATGTTTCGTGAAAAAAAATTCAACAGTATAGAGAGATTAACTCTTTGTTGGTCGTTAAATAGAAAATTTTATTGTTTACGTTCAATAATTTTCAGGGATTCCAAAGGTTTGATATTTGTTCTTCATTTTTTGTATGTAGTACGTCGTAGTTTATGTCGAATTAGTGGTTGTTTTCTAACAGATAACATACATAGGTTAAATTGGTTTATTTGATTCAAAAAAGTTTTGTATTCTGGGATATTCTGGGTTTGACATTTCTAGACTTTTCCAATAAAGATTTTTGAGTACGAGCCACATTTTAGATTGAGACACCCGATTTGTTGTCCTTATCGGTGTTCGATTTGTTGTTTTTCATATGTCTACCTAGAGTGTAATCACTCTTGTATACTATGTTGATGATCTATTTAGTAGTCTACGCATATCTTCTGATGCATTACCTGTATTTGTCAGTGTTTCGAAATTATTTAATTCTGTCCAATATTGATCTTTAATAAATGTTCGATATATTCATTGAATTTTCGTGGATATCTCTATTGCTTTTCAGATCATAGATGAATTTGTATTCACTGAGTATCTTTTGTTTACACTCCCATGCGAAATAGTGTGCATTCCCATCAAAGCCTTTGATGCCATTCTTCTTATCTTTTTGAAACTACATGATGAGGGTTTGAACTTCCTTTGGAAACCAACTTAAACAATAATAAAAAAAAACAAGTAGTTTGTAACAATTTTATCATTCTTATGGGAAAGGTAAACAGTTAGTACTCAATCACATCAATGAATTGACAAAGTGAACCATTCCACGTTCAACCTCATGTCTCTAAAAATATAATATCACGAAAAAAAATTATCACACGTATTGAAATATAAACGAAAACAAAATGATGTTGAATTCTGGATATTCGAGTACAAATTTTGTATTGAATATCTTAGTTTCAATGTTATGTGAAATGTATAAGAAAATAAATATTTCGAAATGAAATCTAAAAAACGTCAATCTCTCTCAAAGTACCTATATAGTATGTTCTGGTCAATGCCTGCCGAAAAACAACTACTTCTCCGGCCAATACCACGATGGTCATTGAGTCATATCTCTCTGTATCTGTATCTGTAGAGTAGGGAGGGTGAGTGTAAGCCCACGCACTTAGGCCACATGTGACCCATTGTACATCCTCCCGAGGAGTTGTCCTCCTAGGTCGTCGTCCATCCTGTCCTTTCCAGGAAGGTGGACAGGTCGCTGGGAGACTTTCTTGGTTATTTCTTTTGTGGCGATTGAAATACCAGCTAGTTCTGTTTGGAGTCATTGAGTCATATCCGACAGATATAGTTCTATGTCCATCATATGTATCTGTCTTCGATTCAGTAGTCAGACTTATTTTGATTTCTGTTAGAGAATTGGTAGTTGGAATGTTTGTTCCCCGTTTTTGGTGCTTGTTTCATGAGATGCAGTCGTAACTAGTTCAATACATGCAGACGGGCCACGTTGGAATCAGTCAAGTCCCAAGCACACTGCTATTTGAATCGGATTTTTTCTGCACTCATGAGAGGAAATACTTCAAAACCAATCTTTAGATGCTCCACTCGATTGATTCCAGCATGGTCCCGATTCTTGATAAACAATAAACATCTTCAATACAAACTTCTGTGAGGAACCCTGTATAAATGTCTGACGGATATTATTCTAATATACATCGTAGTATTAGCCGGGAATGTAGTTGGGAGAGATGGATGTGTGGATGACTCATTTCGAAACAGTCTTCAGACTTATTTTGATAGATTACTTGTAGAACGTATTGGGGTTAAAATAAGTAATGTCGCCCGTACATACGTTCATATATGAATCATCTCTACTGAAAATCACCTCCCAAAATCAGATATTAAGCCGCCAGCTTTCCCAGTCTATCAAATATTGAGTAATAAACACATATATTTCCACAATAATAGTTATTTATGTATCAAGGGCGTAAAATAGGATTTTATGGACGGCAGCGTGTAAGTAATTATTAACACGCCTACGTCCATAAAAGCAAATTACGCCCGAAATACATGCACGACCACTATATTTGATGTCATCATCGACAGCCATCTTGAGTTCTTCCAGGCTGGAGCCTCGCTCCCTTACCCTTTGAGCTGATTTTCGTCAGAGTGACAAATGGGTCATAACTGATCATTGGTGGCGCCATGAGTGTCCTCAGACATCAGTACCGCCCTTCGCGGTGTACCTCTACCTGGCGGGGGTGAGATGGATGAAGATATTATTCATCTGTTAACGGAGGACATAGGGGCCTCATTCGACAGAGTGTCGAGGCCTTCTATATTGGGAGGGGTCGTCTACAGCATAATCTATAGCTTCCCTGACTAATGGATTTTCGTGAGTTTCAGCGCAATCTAAAACTCGCCGATTCCTCGACTGGATGGACTGCTAAATGGAAGGCAGCTGTAAATATCTGCGGATGGCTTCATTCCGCACGAACCACGGAGCATTCACAATCATCCGTAGTATTTTATTTTGTAGGATCTCCAAGATGGAGATGTTGGACGGAGCCGCTTGTCCCCAGACGCCTGAAGCATACATGATGACAGGCTTGAACATGTGTTGTAGATCATAACTTTGTTTTTCAGACTCATTTTAGATTTCCTGTTGATTAGAGAGTACATGCTTGCCACCCGACCCTCGATCTTTGCCTTCACGCTTAAAAAATGCGGGTTCCAGGTGAGCCTACGGTCTATAAGAAGACCGAGGTACTTTACCCGCGCCTGCCAGTCAATCTCCCTTTCAGAGATTCTCACTTTCATAGCCGGAGAAGATAGCGTTCTTCCCATGGTTATCGCCTGCGTTTTTTCCCGGTTTACTCGGATTTTCCATTCAAGGTACCAGCGCTCAAGTCGTCCAATGCACGTTGCATATAGACGACGCCGAGCTCCCGACCCATGGAAGATTAGAGGAGAGCCGTGTCGTCGGCGTAGAATTTGATGTCATGTCGATAGATACCTGCTTATATCTGGAACACGATAGAAATACAACAAGGCTGCCGTGAGGCTGTATATTCATATCATATCGAAAGCAGAATACATCAAGAAGTGATGGCATGAATGTTGCCATGGCAACTGAGTCAATTTTTCGAAATACAGATTATATAGGCTAGTAGCCGTATTTGTTGTCAATTTTTGTGATCACAGATAATTTATTAGTGATTATGAAATTGATTCAAGCGACGAAGAAATTGTGAATTGTACTCCACCAGAAATAAGTGAAGTAGCTGAGGATTTGAAATTGACTTTATTGCCAAGTTAATCCATGAAAATATACGACAAAGTGTATGAAGAATTCGTGAGGTGGTGCAACGGGAACAAAGTAAATAAAATAATGATAAAAAAACTTTTAAAACAAGCTTTTATTTAAGTGCCCTAAAAAGATCAAAATAAAATTTTAAATCGCATTAACCACATTCATTTATGACTTTACAGAATTGAAATTATAATAAAAGCTTGTCGCGATAATTTCAATTTGTAATTGAAATTTTGTAATTATGTAGGCACCTACTAAACTTGTGAACAATTCATATTGTTTGTAATTAAATAAAAGTGCCGTGAATGCTTAAAATGTGTCATTAACCACATTCATTTATGACTTTACAGAATTGATATTATAATAAAAGCTTGTCGCGATAATTTCAATTTGTAATTGAAATTTTGTAATTAGGTAGGCACCTACTGAACTTGTAAGCAATTCATAATGTTTGTAATTAAATAAAAGTACCGTGAATGCTTGAAATGTATAACTTTAACCTTGAATAACTTTTTTGCACACATAGGATTTATCGGGTTTGAAATTTATTGCAGTACCTAGTTGATCTGTCAGAATGTTTCTCAATTTGAATTTAATCTGACTGAATATGTAGAGATTTCTTCTAAGCATCGCGACAAGCTTTTATTATAATTTCAATTCTGTAAAGTCATAAATGAATGTGGTTAATGTGATTCAAAATTTTATTTTGATCTTTTTAGGGCACTCAAATGAAAGCTTGTTTTAAACGTTTTTTTATCTTTATTTTATTTTATATTTTTTAGTTTCAATCGATAGTTATCGATCAATACGAAAGTCCATCTATAAAACAGAGAGTCCTTCAACAGAAAAACTCAAGGAACCAATGATAATGACGCCCATTTCATCAAATTACACAAGTCATGGTATGCCTCTTGTGCCTGTTGCTCACATTTCGTGATGGACTCTCTTACTCTGGGAACTTAGAGGGAGGTAGATAATAATATTTTTTCACAATGCAAATAAATATGGGTTCTTACAACCTACTACTCCATTTATTGTCATCTTTTTAGAGTTGCGAAGCAGGTATTCAAAAGTAAAAGCTTGATTTAATTAATTTTTTTTCTAGAAATATGGCATCTATTTCATGTGGCATCTATTTCATGTGGCATCTATTTCATGGTGGGCCTAGCAACTGCCTATCATAAACGAATACGTACACAAAATTTCGTGTCCCTGCTATTTACCACTGAGATCTCTCGTGCGGAGCCGATCCTGGCAGCAGCATCAGGTCACGTTTATGATTAACTTGCATTGTCATCGGTTCTGGACCAGCGTGCAAAATTTCAGGTCAACCGGATACCGGGAAGTGGGTCAAATTAAACTTGCAAGATTTGTTAACATACATACAAGTCAAGTTAAATTTTTCGAAAAATCTAAATATTGTAAGCCCTCTTACATGCTGGAAGCTACTTTAAATATACATGATGATAGACATATCACAAGATTGACAGTTTTTTATGAGTTACCTATAAGTACAATAGATATATTGATAATCTGATGATGTTGGTTGATTCGTAATGTACACTCCTGTATAATTCAAGTATATGTTTCAATAATTTTGCATTCATTGAAATCATCGGAATATAGATTTCTATAGATGTGAGATTCAAATTCACTTCATAGCCCGCTCAATGATTTTATCGCCCGCCTGCCAATAAAGTAGTCCTCGGGCGCTAAAGTGCTACTTTACGGCCGCAAATCCGGGCGATAAAATGCTATTTTATGTCCGGTCGTGCATAAATATATTTTAAACCTATCACTATTCATTTTTCGATCAGTGATTTAGTCTCACAACTTATGCATTTTCAGATCTGCAACCATTTGTAAAAGTGTATCTTCTTGTGAATGGTAAAAGGGTGAAAAAGAAGAAAACTGCTACTAGAAAGGGTAGTCGCAATCCCGTTTGGAATGAAGCATTAACATTCACTTTATCTGCCCATAACATAGCCAATGCTGCATTAGAGGTAAGGTTTGGAACTTCATTGAAAAACTTTTATTTATACAACAGTGAATATTGAAGAGTTTTTTATCATTTCTTCAAAGAAAGTTCATCCAATATCAACCAAATGATAAAATAAAAAAACTGTGATTTGTTTTTTTTTCTAGATTTCTGTATTCGATCAAGGAAATGATTTAATAGTGAACAATACCCTTATAGGAGCGTGTGTAATAGGGCCCAAAGAAAGTGGCCCTGAGAAAGATCACTGGATTGACATGTCACAAAGTCCAAGAAAATCTATCGCATGTTGGCATACAATAAGGTAAACTTTTTCAAAAAAATATGCTCAAATGAAAACCGTTGTTTTGAATTATATTCCCAAAATGCAAAGGAATACATATATTTTTTGTAAATATACCTTGATGGAGATGAATAACTGAATAATTATTAAAAATTATTTCAATTCAGTAACAATCATAAGAAGTATTCACCAGAGATCATTTTTCAATGTCTAAGAATTCTTTATTCTAGCCATAAGTCACAATAATCATGATTTCCACTTGTTAGCACTGAACTGATGAAAACAATATTTTCCTGGAAATCATTCAAATTTTTCAGCTCTCAGGGTTGGTTTATTTGTTTGCACATACTCAGAGTACTTATTAGGTGGGGATAAACCACACTTTCTAACACTAATACTTCCTAACTTCTCCACGCTCCTTGCTCCCATAGATGGTGTCTTCGTAAGAGGAGATGTCATTGCTCAAAGTTTACTTGGGCTTGTTATTCAAAGGCAGTTGAGTTGAGTCCAGCAGTGGTTCAGCCTAGCACCACTGATGAGATCTATGGCGGATCGAAATAGCGATGTCTTGTGTTGGACCATGTATGCGTTGTGTTTTGACTCTGATTTTCATTCAGATCTGTTGGTTATGAAAACATTTATTGGGAAATATGTTTTCACATTTTAAGAGTAAGGCAAAAATCATTTTTAGAGGTATCTAGTTGAATCATACTTCAACTATTTGACTAATGTCTATGGAAATCTTTCATCAATATTATTTATAAAATGACCAGAACTATCTATCGATTCACCTACCATGATATATATTTAGGGAAAATATATGTATTTTGGTCACCCTGTTTTTTGATGTGAAAGAAAATTAAAATTTCACCCTTTCTCCTTTTCCATGAGGTTGAATGTTGTATTCAAAAATACCAGTGAAATATTCAGAAGTTTTTAAATTGTCATAATTTTTATCTCGTACTGATCTTTTCGTCCTCATGCAAAATGTAACAAAAAACATCTTTCAATCAAACAATATTCATTTTGTCTTTGGAGCGTCTCATATGATATTCAATCGTATGAAAAAAATATCTGAATGTTGAGAAACTCGAGAATCCGTATATTATTCACAAATAAAAGTGAATCAAAATTTCTAGAAGAGTTTAATGTTTATAAATAACCTCAAAAGACAATCATTTCTGTTGATCTCTTTGATTTTTCCACTTATAAGTGCAGCAGAGGAGCGATATTTATTTTTGATATTGTTGAAACAATACATTCAACTGCACCTTAGGTTCAGAAGGAAAAAATTGGTAATGCATTGAAATATATGTCAGTTTTGTGACGAGTTCCAACGAAAACAACGCATATTGCAATAGTTGATATTATTTTGTTTTAAAAATTTCAATCAATCAAAAAATTGAAATATCTGTCATTCATATATCTCAACGACAACATCTATATGTGGTTGCATGAATTTTTGGTTTAACTGACTTTAAAAAATTGCGATACAAAACTTTGAATGACGGGCATAAAAATCGATAAAATAAATGTATATTTGATGTTTCAGTGTTCTAGACATAATCGATTACTTTCCTTCTGAACACTCGTGAATCTAAATAACAAAACGCTTAAATTGAGACTGGGATGTCACGGGACAACCCTCTCTTCTTATGATAAATGTTGCTGTCTTATATATACTAAATTATACACCTAAAATGTGAAAATTTTTATCATCTATACTGAGATGTTTTTGAATACTTTATAGACTTTTAATGAAGGTATATGTATTGTATGAGTGTTCCATGTTAAAAAGTTCACTGTTCATAAAAATGTTGAAATGTAGCTTTTACCAAGACAATGTTAAGGTGGAATATTTCAATATGAAGGGGCATAGTTTTTAGAACTGTTCCAGTTAGCCTATAAGAAAAAGTTGAATACTATATTTCATAACCTTGTTTGCAAAGTGTAAAAAAAGAACTTGGTTTTCCCTTAGTATTTAGCTTTTTATAGTTTCCTGATGGAATGCAAGTCCGTTGATTTTCCTCTAGATAATAAGCATAAAGGAATCCCTTTGAATTGTTTTATGCTGGCTGCAGGGACCATAATGGTATAATAATAAACAAAAGTTGTAAAAATTAGTGTAGCGTCCATAACATTAATCAAATTCGATTAAAATTTTTCTCAACCCCATCATGGATACGTCCAAGAAGACACGAATTTTTAAATATCGTCGATACACTCAGGTGGAAAAAGAGCTAATTTTTTTGGACACACTCCATGACTCTAGTAATGTTCCAGAACAGATTTTCATTATAAAGCACAAAGTGTTTATTTTTACTCTGCATTCGGAACATTGGCATTGAAATACTCCACTATCGAATTTATCATGTAATATTTCGTTATGTTTTAGATGTTATTATAGATATCTAAGAGATGTTATATATGTATATAATTTAATTGTACATGATACAGTAGTGATTTTTATTAACTAACAATTGATTTAACGAAGCTATTCTTTGGCAGTATATCAATGTAAAATATATTCCATTGAAAACAATACATCGCCTCAACCTCTAGAAATATATTATCTGTCTGTAGATACCCAAAAATAATATTTCCTTATATCTGAATATATTTACCTTTAATCAAGATCGGATCAATAACTTTGATACGAACAAACTCTTATGATTTATGAAATCACAGTTTCAGATTTTGAGTGAAATAAATTTTTTGCAGAGGAAAATATTTTGGTGGCGGCAAGAATCACAATTAGGGTGAACGAAATAGGAGCTGGTAGTACTATAAGTTCCTTTCGATTTAGGTCTACCATCCCGGATTTTGTTCTCTCCGATTTTTGAATATTATTGTTATCACAATCTTGAAAAAAATAAAATTCATAACGTAGAACTTTATAAAGAGCTAACTTTACAGTTCACCTTGTTATTGTCTAAACACAATACACCTTTTTCTGAGGAAACTATTATATTTGCAGGAAAAATGTATTTATCTTTACGTTTCAAATACAGAATTTATTTCCGTCACCAGAGTTCAAAAAACACATCAAATTCGCCTTTACACATATTTTAGGTGACTTGTCAAGGGAACTAAGAAGTTTGATGCAGTCTACACCAGTATACAGTTCTCTATTGAAATTTTTTTCAGACGGTATGAGACGTAAACTACATCTTGAGTTTTATCTATCAAAATCATAACGTCATCAGACGAGTCAGCATACTGTTCAATTATATTATTGTACTCTAAAATTATAGTGTTTCTGAATACCTTAACAATATTTTATCAGCACGATATATATGATCTGACTATTGGTTTTACTGTGAATATCCGATATCTAAGTGGGAAATAAAATTGTCAGATTTTCTTCTCAAAACTAATTCCAATTACAATCGATCTTTATAAACGACATACAATTTCACAAAATTACACAATATAGAAGAACCATTTTATATGAACTGTAAACTTCAACGATATTCACCATGGTGACCATGCACTGACTAATTATACTGAGGAACATTCTTGTCTCAATTGGAGGCATAAAATTGCAACATTGTGCGAGGATTGCGTGTTTTTGTCTTTTGAAGTTTAGAGTGATACTGATGAAGAGTCTTGTCGACCTGAAACAACGAGTGTAATGTAATGAACGTTTGGCGTACAAAATGAATAGAAAAGTGTCTGTCAGTTATGTAATGAAATTAACCGATACTTAATGAAAATCCACAACGAATTGAAGTAATACTTGAACATTTTTGCTAGATAGTATTAAAGTATTGAAAAACACTTTATTGTGAGATTTTCACTAAACAGTTTTACAAAAAACGCAACACGTGTTTCGCCATACAATAGCTTCTTCGGGCGTGTCTTTACTAACTATATTCTACATATTCAATGCTTCATATACCCAATTTTACAATTTGAAAGTACCTACATTTGAAGTACCTAAGTTTTGCCTGGTCATTTAATGTTTCATGTGTACCTAAGTTTGTAATGAAATTTTTTTCAAGGATGGAAAGTAGGCACAACTATACAAACACCTGTCACCACCACCAAGCATGCCACCGGAAACATGTCACTCCCCCTCAACGGTACGGGAGCATGTACCGGAGTGATATGATAAAAGGGTGGGTCGAAATGTCGGGATAAGGACAAAAGACCTTGCCTGGAAATGAGTGGTCATTTCCAAGAAAGCGAGAAATTTCAATGTGTAGCTTTATCAATCATCTACTGAATCATAAGGCGAACATAGATTTTAAGTATATAATTGATAAGCACATACATAATCTTGCTTGAATACATAATAAAGAGTACTTAGTATTAGTCTCTAATCATACGACAAAACAAAGACAACGCAGAGACTGAAACAAGCTCCAAGTATACCTATAAAGGTATGAAAAAAACCATAGTATAAATGATATTTCTGAAAATACAGACAATTTCAGTGAACAACTAATCAATACAGTTTATTTGTATGATTTTCACTATACGGGTTTTACAAAAACCTAACTATTTTTACCTGCGAATTAACAGATTCAATAATGGCGAATTATTCAATTCAGTTTGATCGTTCATAAGATACTGAGAGTTTTTGAATTTGTTTATTTCCATACTCGCCAACAGGTTAAGTTTCAAACCTTTCTTCTGGAAATGGAGGGGTTTGTATTCATGGTTGAACTCATGTCCCTCTGAGATTAAATGACTGGCATATGTGGAATTCATTTTTCTATTCTGAAAACTATATTTGTGTTCCTTTATGCGGGCTTTGAACGTTCTTCCAGTTTGACTTATATAAAACATCGAACATGACCCACACGATAATTTATACACTTCTGATTTTTCTGAAACTGAACTTTTATCTTTGTTATTTTTAATGTGCATGCCTAAGTTGTTGTTGGTTTTGAAAGCAGTATTGATACCTTTGCTGTGCAGAAAATCTGAAATACTTGTAGTGGGTTGGCCTAAGTAGGTTAAGGTTCTATAACTTCTATCGTCTTCTCTTCGAATTGGGGACTATATAACTTTTTTGATAATAAAGAATATGTAATAAAGAATATGTATCAGACCGCTATCCTGTACAAAAAGTACACAATTCTCGCACAAGATTACAACTTTGTCCCCGGTAGAGTCGAATTTCCTCTTGTCACGATCGATGATGGTACATAAAAACTTTCATATGGTTATTTGATTTAATCCAAACCATATGAATTAAGAAGATGTTAGTGTTTTTCAAAAAGCGTTTTCCCATAATTACTTATTATTATTTTTAAACTATTTCTAGACTTTTCTAGAGGTTGTGTTCAAGCTTAAATAATTACACAGATAACATACGAAAAGAAAATAATTAGCAAAATGTTATCAATTGAATCACATCTGAATTGTTCAGATGAATGTTCGAATTGAGCACAAAATATTAGGTACAGTCATTTGTTATGACTTGCGAAAAAAAACATATTAAGTAAAAATGTACCTGCATCTATAAATATCATTGTGTTGTTAAAATCAGTGTATCAATGATATATAAAGGATGGTTTGTGTTATAACAATTAGTTTAAGAGATTTCAATTTTATATATTATTATATAAATATACCAACCAAGCATCAATTGCCACTGAGTCTACAAATACAATAATTCATTTAAATAAAAACCCAACAAAAGGTTGAACGATATTTGCATATAAAAAAAGGATTTTTTTGAACGGAACATTAGCAATATCCCAGAGGCAATTTAAAAAGTTCGTGAAATCAATCAAATAATTTGTTTCAAGAAGATGGAATTCCTGTCCCAGTAAACGAATGATTTTGAGCAGTTTCGCATTTCCATGATTAAAATAAGTCTACATGTTCCCAAATCGAAAAAGCAGGGGGGAAGCTCCCCCATGGCGACGGCCCTGGTTCCATAAGAAATATCAAAATGAATTCTATAAAAGAAAATAGATGATCTTGTGGTACAGAATAACATCTTCAAATGACTTTTCCTGAGATATTAAAAGTGTTTTATCTACTAGCGCTGTATATTGAATTATTCAACAATGAAAAATGCCTCTGTTGGTCTTTATTTTTATTCATGATGTTTTATCAAAATATGTACACTACAATTATTTGGTGGTGTACTTTCCCGCCTTCAACCTCTAGTATAATGCTGAAGTTCTTTTAGCATTATACTTGTGGTAAAACTATTTGCACAGATCGATTCTGTTGAACGAAGTAAATAACGATTCAAATGTTTCGATTCATTTTTGATTAGTTACATAAGCTTATAAACTTTATAACGATCAATTACCCAATATAACTTCCCTAACTGATGTGTTTCATGTTATTTTCGTTTAAATATCGTTTTTCAGCAAGACTCAATGGCAACTGCAAATTCAATAATATGGCATTCAAGGGAAAATATTTTATATAGCATGGAAATATGTATTTGAAATGGTTTACAAAGTGTTATATGACGACCCAAATGGAAAAACAAAGTAGTTTCATTACACAAATTATTTTCCCTTTTCTTCGAACGTCGAAAATGTTATTCTTGAACAAATGTAATGAAACCTCTTATTTGGTACCTACTTACCTACTGATTATTCTTATGATGTAACTATCACACAGGGTTAAAAAGTATTTTGTCTATATTTTAGTTAGAATTCTGCCTTGTTCACACAGACACATATTTTTGTATCAACAAACCAAGGATATTTAATATAGAATGGTTAGAAAATGTGTGTGACTGGAACTTATAATAATCGATAATGGTATATACTAATCAGTTACAAACATATATTTTCGTAAACCATTGGATACTGAAATACTTTCAAATTCATTCAAGGTTTATTCATGATGGACCCGGTAAACTATTTAATGTCAATTTTAAAATAGGATGAAAAATTGCAGCAAAAATTCATATTAGGTAATAAAGATTGATCTCCTTCATTTTTTTTAATGTTTCACCATAATTTCACCGGCTTATGAAGAATATATTCAATATCATTTTCAAATCTCGCTAGAATAATGAAGAACATATAATAAAACTGAACAAGAAAGCACAAATGCAGAAATTAAAAAAATAATGTTCCAAGTAGTTATGTATTACTATGTTTGTGAAAGCTAGGTAAAAGGGTAAAAGATGGGAACTTTACGTATCCATATTTTACAAACATTTCGAGAATTGTTCAGTTTAGAATTTATTAAATCTAATAAACGAATGGAATACATTGAATTAATTTTCTATTTGAAATTTTTTGGATTGAATAAATTATTATGAATCATTGTAAATGTACAAAATATCAAAAATTCATAAAAATCGTAAAGTAATAGTAGACTGGGTACCTCATGAGATTTGATACAATAGAAGAAATGTTATAAAGCAATTTGTATCGTTTTCTTTTCGATAAGACAGTATTAAGTATTTAAATGAATAAACTTTCAAAACTAATCTACTTTCTTATTTCATTCATTCCACTATTGAATGAAAATGATCAGCAACAGAATAGCAGGATCAGAAAAGTTTAAGGTTAAGGAGGGAAGGTATCACAAAAAGTTTTGTATTAAATTTATCAAACATTGCATTCTTCCTCGTAGTTATTCGCCAGTATAAAGCCATAAAATGGAAACTAATTAAATAAAATTAAACTTATTTCTATTTGTATATACATATACACACATTTCTAAAATTGAAATACTTATCAGGGATAAATTTTGGATTCTTTAAAAATCGGTCTACAGAAAAATTTGCTCGGGGTATCACAAATAAATCTTAAAAAACGTTTTTGTACAATAAAAACATCAGGTGCTCGAATGGAAACACCCCAGAAACATAAGCCATATCGTAATCGGGAGGCTACTTGTGCATGATATAATACGAATAATTGTTCACGTAACAAATTGTTCTTGAGATTTCGGAAATCTGTTTAAAATCGGTTTTTCCGTTAACCAGATGTCGCACCCCTACGAACGACAACCCTCAGATGTCTAAACGTGTGCGAGCTAAGGACTAACGAGGTCTTACCTTTTAACTTGTGATTCCTAACAAGGGTTGGACGATAGCAAGTGAAATTCGATCGCTCAGCCTGCGGCTTGAACCAGCGACCAACACGGCGGTCGATTTGAGTTATATTTTGAGATCAAGTTGGTACAATATTCTTTTCAGTTTAAACCAGCGTCTATTCCAAGAAACTCAACTGATAAAGTAGGCTCGTTCAAGATATCATCAGTTTTTATTGTTAAAGTTTCTTTTTTTTATGGTAGATGTGAAATCGAATTATATTTGTCATATTACCATTGAAATAATGGTCACACCATGAAATGAGGTCACCAACAGCAGTTGTACTTTTGTATCAGACATTTTCAAATTTGTCAAAGGCAAGTATATTGGTGTCATCTGCATATCTAATAAAGCTGGCAGAAGATTCGATATCATCCATGTCATTCGTAAAGAATAAAAATAAAATTGGCTCCAAAATAGAGCCTTGGGGAACGTCCATGGAGATATTTTGATATGCAGATTCAGAAGAAGATATACTAGCAAACTATTTTCTGTGTGTCAAGAAACTGTACTTCTGATGCACTGTTTGGAACCTTTGGTGTAGTAATGAATATTACTGGAATTTTTTTCCAACACCAAACCGTTATTTTAACACCTCGGCACGTGTCGAGGTGTCCAATAATATTCAAAAAACTCCGTATCCAGTCGAGTGAAACTCCACGAGTACCATATCTGTGCAATTCAGACAGGAACACATCTTGCTGAACCCAGTCAAATGCCCTGCTGAGATCACAAAAGATCCCAAAAGGGCCATCGTCCGATTCGATTGAGTTGATCAATTTTTCATAAAATGTCAACAC